ACCGTATTTTTCTTATGGTTCGAATACGAACATTGTGTTGAAAACGTGCGAGCATGCGAACGATGATCGGACCTCTGGTCGACGATACAATTTCGAGCGAATGTGCCAAATGGACCGCGATCGAGGATTTTCCAGCCTCTGATCATCCCCACTATACAGCTGGGGCCCATCCGACTTACCTGGAAACCACGCCTCAAAGTCCTGTGCCTACGGTTGGAGGTGGTCGTGTTTTTGGACAGCTCCGGGCCGTGCACGACGCACGCACATTGTCACTCGCGTGAACGCACTCGAGTGGGTCCGTCCGATCGTGCGAAACTTGTCTTCCCAGGTGACAACCTGCAATCCGTTTCCGAAAGAGCACCCTTTCCGAGAGAGAATTTTCACCTGCTTAACAATCCGATCAGGCCGCGCACGTGCACTACGAGTGAGTATGACTTTGCGGTACCGATTTACTCTACGTGTCGTCATTCATAATTTGTTAGTACCGGACGAAGCCGGCATTCTGTGAAGTCCCGCATTTTGTGATTCGAAAATTCATTTAATTATGGCATATCAATGTAGATTATTTCAAAGATCGATCGCGTAAGGGATGGTTTTAATTTTATGAATCAATAAGCAATTACATTGCCTGACAAAAGACTTTGACTTTTTTTTTTTGCGATACGTGTGTGAATTTTATTTTCGATTTATTTTTGCTTGCTAAAGTGAATCTGTTGATCAAATTTGGTTCATGTCTTAATTTCTGAAAAAAAAATGATGTCAAAAAGGCGAAAACGATGATTTCGAGGGTTTTCATGACGTTAACATTGTTGATAATTTTTTCAAAATTTTATTAATGCTAAACGAAAGTATCAATTTTTGGCTTTAAAATACATTTTGTTTCATTTCGGTATGTTTCGTTTTCGAGGTAGAACAATTTCAAAATAGCTCTTTTCTTATATCATGGGATGATCACTTAATACGTGAAAAGACGTTTTGTTTTATTTGAATTCTACATTTTTTATATGAAAAGTAAGTGTTTTTGTGCTGATGTGTATAAAAGGCAATATAAAATTAACAAAATATGAAACGGTAAGAAGATTATGATCTTTAATGAGTATAAGCTCTTTGGTGCATATAATGTATTTTGTCAATTTCATATTGCTTTTTATTTTGTATGATCCGATTATATTGTACAATACTACGTCAGTATAAAAACACTTTCCAACGCAACATTAAAATAGAATAAAATACTTTTTCCACTTTTATTAAGTATATGAGAACAGAGCTATTTTCAAATCGTTATTTCCTGGAAGCGAACAATCATATTCAAAACGAAAATGTTAAAGCTAAAAGTTGATACTTTTGCGTAGCATTAATAAAATTTAAAAACAATTTACTGCACGATAGCCAAATTTGAATAACGGATTCGTATTCAACAGGTAAAAATATATCAAAAATAATTATTCACACTCGTGTATTGAAAAATAATATTGGACAGTATTATCAATAACTGTATTGATTCTCCCGCATATATTTGCAAGTCGATCGAAGCAGTTCGCGATACTGAATCTCATCTTTAAACTTGATTGCTCCCAATAATCTATAGTCTTTAGATGAATTTGTGGCGTTCTCGCGACCTTGACTTGACATGGAAACAGGAGGTGCGTCAATCTCTTTTTTTCCTTTCTCTCTCTTATTTTACTATGTCGCCGTATTCTCAAACCGGTGCAACCCGGCAAACCCGATTTTAATTTAAAGATTTCGCAGTTGGATAGATCGTCAATCCTTGAGTGTGATCAATAATTCTTTTTTCTTTTTATCGAAAAGGCAGATAATAACACGATTTAATCATTAGAGAAGAAGATGGTATTATATGGCACTCCAGTTACATTTTAGACAATAACTTTGTTAATAATCAATATTTCAGTTTAAAACTTGACAATTACATTCGTTAAAATATTGACGAATCGATTCTGGACTCAAAGTTACAAAATATTTATTACTTAGGATACTATTATTAAACTATTAATTAAGATGTGGCGACATTGCACAATGACTCGAAGAAAAAAATATATGGTAATGTAGCCTTCCATAAAAATAGCTTCAAAATATTAGTTTTGTTTAGAAAACAGTATTTAATTATAAAAAATAATAAAGTAAAACATTTTAAAATGTATGCAAATGAAAGTATATAACATACATTCACATAACTTCTGCATATATAAGTTGCTCAAAATTTCAGTACTAAAAATAGTACACGTATACAAACTATAGATGAACAGTAGAGCTTATCAATCGATTATCAAATAATTATTTTGATATGAAAATCTCAAAAAAAAAAAAGGTTTGTGAGTAATCAATAGACCACATTAGCGGAATGTCATGTTATTGTTTAAATTTGCATAACTCAAAATATATACAGTCAAATAAAATGTTAAATAGCAAGTAACACTCAAAAATACATATATTCGTATGATCAAATTTAAGAAAAATGAGGAAGTAGGTGTAATTAAATGCTAAAATGTACCTCAGAAACGTTTCGAAATACTTGAAAGTAAAAATGTATTTTAATAAGTGCTGACTATTGAGTATTGGTATTATATATTACCATCATGTTGTAACGGCGAGCTACTAAACAAATAATTCCGTAAGTAATCGTTAGGATATATAATAGCGAAGATATTAAGGGAGTATATACACTGTACGTGTGTGTGGGGGAGAGCAACATATACACTGACCATAATACCTTTATATCGAAATACTGTTAAACGTTTATTGATCGTTAATAATTTTTTA